GGGCTGCCTTGAGGGATGAGGCAGTGGGGCAGGTCAGGACGGCAGTCAGGGGGCGCCTGGGTGGCTCAGTGGTTGAGCAACTGCCTTCGGCTCAGGGCGTGATCCTGGGGTCCTGGGACCAAGTCCCACATCAGGCTCCTTGTGGGGAGCTTGCTTCTCCCTCTGCCTGTCTCTGCCTCTCTCTCATGAATAAATAAATACAATATTTTTTAAAAGAAAAAAAGAGGGCCATCAGGAGTTCAGCAGCCTTCACTGCTGTGTTGTAGGTCTAGAGGGATCTGGAGGTGGATGCAGCCAGGGGCCTATGAAACACTTTGTCACAGCATTAAATTAACTAGAAACAGAGAGGCCCGAGGTCACATCTTGGTCTCATCATTGCCATGCTCTAACCAGCTGAGTTAACTGACAGATTACTCCTCTACAAATGTTGGATTTAAGTCATTTTCTAAAGCCAATGACAGTTAGTGTTCATTCTGGAGTTTCCCTGGACAGGAACAGAGGTTAGGGGGCAAAAAATAGACATATTTAACTAAGCAGCTCTTCCCTAATCTGTACTACGGAGCTTCTTTCTCTTGAGATTAGAATAGGAAGACCAGAGGTTATGGAGCCAAACAGAAATGTTTTGCCAGGATTTCCATTATCTCACTAACCCGCCTGAGACTCAGTCCCAGGGTTGTAAAATTAGCAATGCTTACTTCATTGTGTTGTTTGAGGATTTGATTCAATAATACTAAAGTTGCAATAGAAATGCTAGTCCCTCATGGTAGGAAAAGGGGACATTTGAGAATGTTTCATAAAAGAGTGACTTACAAAGGTGTAGGGAAGCTGACCCAGGCCAGTAATAATGAGGGCATCAACTCTGTGCCAGGGGAGGGACCTGAGAGGTCATCATCAGAACCTGCAGGCAGAGAGGGCTGCCTTATAGGTGCTGTCATGACCTTTAGTCAAGGGCAACAGGCCACAGCGCCTCCAGCCTGACCTCATCCCTTCCCACCCTCCCTCCTTCTAGTCTGGGCCATGCTTTCCATCACACAAACCCAACCAGGAGCCCAAGAGCATGGGAGCTCCTGGATGTAGTCCACATAGGCCAGCAGTTAGGGACACAGCAGGCTGGTCAGCTGAAGGGTGAGCCCAGGAAGGAGACGGAAGATATCCAGCACAGGGAGGGTTCAAGAAATGAAAGCCATTGTGCCAAGTCCCTGCAAGTCCAGGTCAGATCCCTTTAAATCCATTTTCCAAAAAAGTATTAGTTAATCCCAGCACTTATAGGATATGCCAATCAGTGTTTGCTGAACAGTAATCAGGTTCTGGAAAGGGCATAAAATATTGACTTGTGAGCAAGCATAACATTTGCATTAAATGTAACATTAAAGCACGATGATTTAAATTGCTCATCACAGATGGAGATAAAACAGAAAAGCATCAAGTCTGCTATGGCTTTATTCATTCCTTCCCTTTCATTCTGAGTTGAGTCTGCATCCAAATACTTCTTCCCTTATTGGCAAAATGACAGTGTAATTAACTAACACCACTTACAAATAAATGACTGTAAATTGCTCTGTAGTCAGAGGGCTAACCCCCGCTGCACACTGTCTCTGGTGTCTGCAATCCTCTTTGAAGTTGTAGGGGAGGCTCTGGATGGATGGAACCTCTAACATATCACTTGCAAACTCTAGGGTCCCAGGGGGTCAGGAGAATAGAATAAAATGCCCTTCACCAGGCAACACTGTAGGATTCCATTCTAGGTGGTACGCTTGCTCATAGAATTGGATTCCTCGATAGTCAATCGGGCATTTTCCCCATGCGCTGTGGGGTGATCTACATATGTGCACCTGTCAAACCCTGGAGAGGAAATGACATCTGGGGCCTGTTCTGACCTCTGCCTCTGCCTGTTCTGTTTCCTCAGAACTTACCTAACCTGTTCTGTAAGATTTTTAAATATTCTAAAGCATTGACTTAAATTGATTCTAACCCCAATGCTTGGTCAGATTTTTTTGCTTTCTGGTTAGCTCTTTGAAGAGAGGGATAAAGCCAAGAGATAATTCAATAGTGGGGCAGAGCAATCAAGGAGGGTCCCCTGGGAACTACTCAGGCCTCAGGTGGCTTACTACCAATTACCCTGTTCTTCCCTGTCCCAAACTAAGGTTTTACAACCTTGCTGATCCCAGGCCCAGGAATCTGCAATCAGAGCTCCCAGATGATGGGGACATACAATCTTGTTTTAGAAACAGGATTCAATGGAGTGAGAAAAGCAAAAGAATGTATTCAAAGAGGATTTAGGCATCAAAATTTCCTACCTTATAAAAATCTACCCTACTGGGATGCCTGGGTGGCTCAGCAGTTGAGCGTCTGCCTTTGGATTAGGCTATGTTCCAGGGTCCTGGGATCGAGGTCCGCATTGGGCTCCCCACTGGGAGCCTGCTTCTCCCTCTGCCTCTCTGTTGTCTCTCGTGAATAAATAAATAAAATCTTTTTTTTTTTTTTTTTAAAAAAAACCTGTCTACTTTCCTCTGAAAATATGAACTAAAGGCTGGCCTTCAGTTTCTCTTATTTCTGGAATGATTAATTTTGTGCTCACCTTTCCAATACAATGACATTTTTACTACACATTGATCTTTAAAACCTGGTAAGAAAACAAGTGATCTGAAAACTTTTAAAGGTTTTCTGCTATCCAAAATCAAATCATATTCCTTGCTGCCACCCTCTTTCGTGTCACCCCGAGGCGCCCAGCCAACCATCTACTGAGACCCTCTGACAACCATTTCTGTTATTTTAAAAGGTGACTTCAGCACAGCAGGCCTGAAATCCAAAGTTTGGGTGGTGCCAAGCTGAAAAGAGAGAATGTCTGAACTTTGATGCCAGGGTCCTCTTTGCACAGCCAACGCTAAAATGTTGAGGGTTAGAGAACATGCAGTGATCAAAGAATTTAGTGAGGAATCTGTCCTGTGTGGGAGGGAGGGAACAAGAATCCAGCCTGACTGTGATCCTCAAATTCCCATGGTCGATCCTTTTAACCTTTTGTGTCTCAGGATTTAAAAAAAAAAAATGCTAAAAACATAAATCGGGGCTGGTCTGGAGAGATGTTGGGTTGTGACAGAAGAACCCAAGGTTCTTGCAGCCCTTGACCTCCAGAGCTGAGAGTGGCAGGGACACTCAGGATCTGCCTTTTGCTGGAAGCCTAAGCAAATTAGAAACTTTAATTAGAAAGTGCTGGTTTGGGACGCTTGGTGGCTCAGCGGTTGCAGGGAGCCCGCTTCTCCCTCCGCCTGTGTCTCTGCCTCTGTGTGTGTGTGTGTGTGTGTGTGTCTATCATAAATAAATAAATAAATAAATAAATAAATAAATAAATAAATAAATAAATCTTAAAAAAATGAATAAATTGATAAAAGATCATGAGTAAATGGATAAAAAAAAAAGTGCTGGTTTGTTCCACTAAGCAGCCACCGGTTTAATTCCGCTAATATTTGCTGACGTTTGAGGACATGAACAGTGCACTATGTCTGGGGCAGAGGGAAGAGCTAGTGGCTTCTTTCTTCTTCTTTCTTTCTTTCTTTCTTTCTTTCTTTCTTCTTTTTCTTTCTTCTTTCTTCTTTCAGATTTTATTTATTTGACAGAGAAAGAGTGAGTGAGCGCACAATCCCAGGACCCTGGGATCATGACCTGAGCAGTAGGCAGGCGCTTAACCAATGGAGCCACCAGGTCCCCTAAGCTGGTCGTTTCTGATCCCTGCAAGGGTTTCAGGCTGTTTCTGCCCTATACACTCTTTGCCCAAAGGCTGTGTCCTGGACATGTATTTAACAGTTAAGACTGACACCAAGTTTTTTCAGGCAGAACTCCTCCTTGGAATTGAGCCCAGTCCCACCGGACTCCTGGCTGGGTAGTGACACTGTCTGTGTCCTCCTCCTCAGGACCAGAGACCATCAGTAGCTGTGGGACCAAGAGGGCGGGTTAAAAATCCAGTGACCCTGGGCTGAAAGAAAGGTCAGGACCCTGGAGGACCCTGGAGTCCTAGCCTGTGGTTCCTGTGCTGCTTTCTGATGATCTATTGTCTTTTCCTGATGCAGAAGGTCACCTCCGGCTCCTCAGCGTTTTAGGAGAGTGCTAAGAGGTGGGTGAGGTGGCCTGGAGGCTGCTGCACCACGCCCTTTCCTTCAGGACGTGTCCTTTCTGCGCTGCACTGGCACGGAAGCCTCAGGCTGACCTCATCCCCTGCATGGGCCTGTCATTGCTGGAGGTGTGTTTGCACCAAGCTCCATGTGTGCCCAGAGCCTTGTGTGTGGGAATCATGCCAGGGAACTAAGTCCCCATGAATACCCAGGAGTCCACGCTTGGAGAGCCACCGGCTGATGCAACAGAAGGTGGCTTTGTACAAACCGGCTAATAATGGTTCTGGTGACTAAGAGCCCAGACCTTAGGTAGTCAAAAGGAAAAATCCTGCCAGCACCCAGTATGAGCCAATATGGACACCTACCTACTAGTGGATTAAAAAGGAAACTGCTTAGCAAACATGAATTGACCCACTGTGCCGGAGTCCAGCTGGGAGGAGAGAAAGCATGTTCAGAGAAGAGAGAAAAGGCCAGGGACACAGGCAAAAGTAAAGCTGAGAATTCTAGAAGCACATGAAAGGACGAGTAACTTTTCTGATTCATTAGCTACATTTTCTACTCATCATTGAGTGTCAAGAGAACAAGGGGTTTATCAGACAAGAGGAGACGCTTGTAGGGTTAATCATTCCAAATCCATGTTCTCTGAATAGGTAAGTGGATAGTTCTTTGTGCTGATAGCATGTTGAAGCTTCCACCGTTTTTCAGGATAAAACCCACCGCCCTTAAAGAAGGAACCACTTATTGTTTGAGTGAGGAGACAGAAACCAACAGAACCAAAAAAAAAAAAAAAAAAGAAACCAACAGAACCTGAAAACACGCCTTTGTCCTGGACCTAAATAAAAGCCTGTTCAAATTGTGACAGCTTTTTAAATTCTCTCCTTTTTTTCTCTATAGGCTTTACATATGTAATTAAGGAGTTGGGACTCTCAGCAGGTGAACTTGTTGGAAAGAAAGCTGGGGTAAGCTCTGGAGCAATGCGCTGTCTTGCTTCATTCTGATTCCCACGTTTATCTCCATCTGAGTCCCCGTATGTTCAGAAATAAAAGCCATTCTAAAGGACAAGGATTTTTCAGTGAGCAAATTCAAAATATTTTCATATACACTTGAAAGTAATCCAGAAAAGGAACTGCATTTGAACATATTGCATTTGGAAAGGAATGCTTTGAACAAAGGCTGTATTATTAAAGCCCATTTAGTGGCTGCTTTGAAAAGACCAACGTCTATCTGGGTTTTTAAGTTCTTGTGCACTTAATTACAGCAAAAAAGAGTAGAATTCAAACCACATTCTGGGCATACCTTGTCCATGTCAGATCAAATACTCCTCTTCCCTCTCCTCACAATCTTCCTGGATTCATGCCCACACTAGTGTCCCTTCTCTCTGTGGCCCCACGAGGCCCGGACTAACTCACAGAACCATCTCTGCTTACCTGACCAGGACACTGGACCATCTCCCCACCCAGACAGAGAGCACCTGGGTGGCAGGGGTCTTGTCTCATTCACCTCAGCATCCATGGAGTCTGGACAAAGCTCACGATCAAGACATGTCAGCTGGAGGGATTTTGTGGTACTTCTAGATATCCAGGAGGTCAAGTTTGGATGCAGAAATATTGGGATTTACAAGCCATTCCAGTTGTTTATGAGAACATGTATTTTGGTTTATGGAAGACCACATATTTGTAATGTGAAATATAACAAAATCCAGGTTGAACACAGCTTTCATAGAGTCATATTAATTACTTTAATAGAGTGTTGGCTTTTTAACACTTGCGGTGAGGAAATAGAAGTTTTGTTGACAAACGGGGGCAATAGTTGGGGAGTCTGGCTCCCTTGGGATAGTGTAACACTTTGAGGGGTAGGGAACTAGACTGAGAGAGGACAAGGAAATGAGGAGGCCAGATTACCATGGGGCCACATAAGGGAAGGCAGCATACAGAGGGAGGCTGTTGCAGCAGACACAGTCAACCATCCGTTCCTTATAATAGCTCTGATTTGAGTCAGGGTGGCAATATGCCCATCTTAATACACCCACACTTCCAGACTCCCTTGCTGCTAGGGTTGACCAGGTGACACAGTTCAGCCAAGGAGGTGCCAGAGGGGTCACTGGGTGCAACTTCCGGGAAAACTTCTTCAAGAAGTAACTGAGAGCTACCATTTTGACTTTTACTCTTTGCCCTTCTTCCTGGAATACAGAGCTAGTACTTAGAGGAGGGACTCATTTCACCATTGCAAGGATGAAAACCACATGCCAAGGGTGATGGAAAAGAAATATAGCAGCCTGGAACCTGATGACCTCATGGAATTGCCATGTCACCCTTGGATGGTTTATCTCCAAATTTCCAGGGATAGGAGAGAAATAGACCACTCTTTGGCTAGGCTACCATACCCGGTCTTCAGTTCTGCATGGCTGGCTGAATACAATCCTGATTTATGCTGGGCTGTACCGGAAGAACAGAGCACAGAATTCCAGTCCTGCCTCCTGCCCTTATTGACAAGTGTGCAACCTAAGGATGTCATTTCCCCGAATGTGAAACTGGGGTGGGGGGGTGGGGGATGGAAATCACTGTCTTAACACCTCACAGGTGATGTTAAAGACCAAAAATTATTTGAAAACATTTCAAAAGAATAGAGAATTTTATATAAAGTGTTATTAATATCTTTACTAATAAGTTATGAAAAGGGGCTAATGTGATGAAGCCAGGCTTAGAAGACATTAAGAAAATGTAGTATTTGGAATTCAAAGTCTAGGAAAGGAAACTTCAGGTCTCAAGGGATTCCCATAGAGGGAAACTTAGAAGCCAGGACCCAAATTCTTTGATTTTTATTCCCTCTGTCATGACTATGTGCCAATCACAAAATAGGCACTGATAATTTTCAGAGGCAGGAATCATTACTTGGGGCTGTTGGAAATGTAGCTCTTGCCTGAAGGAAATAAGTGCCCAGGCAGGAAGTCCTGAGAAAGGAGATGGGCTGGAGGCAGAAGGAGTGGCTAAAAGGCTTCTTCACTCACAGGCCCAGGGGTTGGAACTGACACAGAACCTCTGCAGATTCTCAAGCAGGAAAGGGAGGACAGAAAGGAAATGATGTTCTAGAACTGCAACCTGATAAGCCTAAGTGGTTCCTGGAAGAGAGCAGAGATAAGTCAGAAGGCAAACAATGTCGTTGGCATTTGCATGTGGATTCACAGCCTACAAAACTGTGTTAGATGAAAGGTAAACTGTTACAGGGAAGAAAGTTTATGGTTGGACATACGGTAGCTTGGTTTTGATGCTGAGATCTAGGGAAAGTCAGTAATGGATTCAAATCATGCTCTGTGTTCTTCTGGCCCTGTTCTTGGGTGTCAGGCCTAGGATCTGGTCTCTGTCTTCATCTTGAGGTCTAGAGTTTACACGAGACCCCAGTTTTATCAAACAATCCATGTAGCTGGGTCCCTCTTTTGGTAATCAGCCAAGTACTGGAGTCTGAAACCTTGCCTCTGATTCCCAGGCCTGTGGCGGGTGCCCTGTTAGCCCCACCAGCTTCTCTGAGGGTCACTGCCTGTGTGCCTGTCTGAATCTAAGAATGCCAGCTCCGGGAGGCCACATCATGGCGTCTGTCTGCCTTGTCTGTCTGCTCAAGCGCTATGAAAGGTGATTGCCAAAAAAAAAAAAAAAAAAAAAGAAGAAGAAAGGTGATTGCCCTTCAGTGTAAGGAATAGATATTTAGAAGCTCCAAGGAGATCAGAGAAGGATCTAAAAAGCAGAGAGGGCTCTGGTCCCAATTCTCATTTGTATGGCTGTCTTAGGATAGAGATGGTGGGTAATGGCTTCCTTCCTGTCATATGTAGTTTCCCAAGGCTTATAAATGGAGGTGGGGAGGGGGGTCCAGAAATTGCTATATTGAGGCATGTACATAAACAAAGAGAGCTGGTGGGACCCTGAAAGACTTAATGCTGGGGCAAGGAGGACATAGCATATGTGGATGTTCCCCCTGAGGCAAAGGAGGGAAGCCAGCATTATTGATTGACTCCCACCCATCCAGTAGACAGGTGGATCCGGTGGCAGGTGCAACCAGGAGACATAGGCCCCCAGAGACCCAGGGGATAAGACTGTGAGGTCTGTGTGGACCGGATGGTAGCACAAAGATCAACTACCCCCTCCTTAAACTTGCCCTATGCCCAGATGCTGCACAGAAAATGGGAAAGAGAAACTTGAAAGACTGAGAATTTGCCCCAGGGAGACTGGTAGAGCCAATTAAAACCACAATTACTATGCTACACACTTTTTGCCCTTCCCCCCTTAGTAGAGTTAGTAGCTCTTAGGACGTTTGGGATCTATTCTCAGAAATAAAGTTAGTTCTGTATGTCTGGAACATTGCCTATAAGTTTCAACACCAGCACCCACTGTTTCCAGAGTTCAATTCAATGGGCAGAGGGAAGACAGAGTGAGAAATGGAACCAGATACTCCTACGGAGGTAGCGCAGGTACTAGATATACCTGAAGTTCAGGGAAGAAAGGCGGGTTGTGCAGGTACAATACAATAGCCAGGGATAAGCAACAGGTGGTAGGTAGGCCAAAAGGTGTCCTAGGGTTCCATAACAGGTGGGTAGGTGGAGAGGCTGAGCAGAGAGCTCCGTCGACTTTAGCAGGTGGCTAGGGCTGGGGGACCGGCCCCATCCACAGAACTGGGGCACGGGGCAGAGAGTAGTAGTTCCAGGGCCACTCAAAGGAAAATAACAAAAGAAAGCAGAGTTTTGGTCTGAAAGGGCAAGGGAACAGGACAAGCAATCAAGCCAGGAACATAAGAACTCCATCTAGGAAAAAAAAAAAAAAAAAAAGAACTCCATCTAGTATGGATGTGGCTTCCAGGAGAGGTTACAGCCCAGTGTCGGGCCAGACCGAAAACACATTGACTGGGTGTCTCACTAGAGCTCCTCAGTTTTCCTGGTCTAGGAGGCAGCTGGCTCCAGAACCTACTGTGAGTCTGATTCCACATACTTTCCAGGGGCATGTGGAATGTGTGGTTGCCCGCGGGAAGTCGAGAGCGGGTAAGGAGAGGTATCAAATGGTCCAAAGGGAAGAGAGAGGTAGGATGGTGCCTGGCGGGACCCCGCCTGACCAAATAAGCAAAGAGAACTTCAGAAGCCGTGTGATTGGTTGTGGCTCAGGGCTTGATGAATTTCCCTCCCTTCCATGAGGATGTCTGGGCCTTTATCCAAGGAGCGAGTGAGTACGCAGACAGCACCTGCTGGAGATGTTATGTGGCTCTCAGGGGCCTATCCAAGCCTCGAGTACCCGGGTGCCCAGCCGCCTTCCCAGTGAGGAGTTCTGCTGTGGGATTGCCAGGGATCTGGTATTAAGTCCTTCAGGGTGCCACCAGCTCTCTTTGTTTATCTACACGCCTTGATGTGGCCATTTCTGGATCTGGGGACAGATCAGCCCCGGGACTAGCTTCTGGCTGTGAAGGATCCCCCCAAAGCAGATGGGGAAACACCTGCTGTGTGGAGGTCGAACTGATAACCCAGAGGCTGGTCCCTTCTTGGCAGGCCTAGATCAGCAAAGGGATCCCATTGGGAAATGCTTCCAGAAGAGAGGGGATGAGACCATTTTTAGGGGGCCAAGGAAGTGATGGGTATGCCATACTTTAAAAAAAATTTCTTTTTAAAGATTTTATTGATTTATTCATAAGAGACACACAGAGTGAGGCAGAGACATAGGCAGAGGGAGAAGCAGATTCCCTGCGGGGAGCCCAATGCAGGACTCAATCCAAGGACCCCAGGGTCACGACCTGAGCCAAAGGCAGATGCTCAACAACAGAGCCACCCAGGCGTCTCAGATATGCCCTTTGGAGAGACCAGAGGTTCTCACTGGCTCGAGGACGCTGACCTCCCCAAGAAGCTGATGACACACTAAAGACCATTTCCCAGAAAAGCAAGCACGCTCACTCATATGCACGAACCTCAGTGAGATCAGGAACATTCTGT